GGCTAGCACTTCCGCCTTGGCCTTTGAGTCAAATACAATAGTTCCATCCTGTAAGTGGTGGAAGGCTACTGTGTGAGAAGTTCTTTACAATCTGCTTGGCCAGCGTCCAGAAAGACCGACTGCCTTTGCGCTGCGATATTACCCTGTGCCTAACTTTTATATCATGCTGGTTTTTGGCATTGCGAACCGCTTCGTTATATTTGTTTCTGGACTCGACGGCGGCTTGTCTGTTCTCTACAGTGGGGTTTTGTAAGTAGGTTCTGTGTGCCTTGATCTTCTGTTCCTGATGTTTGTTTTGACGGGGAGTAAATGGGATATGAATACATAATAGCTTAAATTATAGCTATTAGATTGCTATCATGTGATTATTTCATCAGGGTGATGCCTCAAAGTCCGGTAGATTCCTGGCATCCAAAATCTGACAAAGGTTTACCTTTTCCATACTTTTGACAAATAGCACCGTGGATATTTTTAATTAAAGTTGTATGAAACGATCACTAATATGAGGAATAGATTATGTTAGGATATCCCAGTTATTAGGCTCCGAAAAATAATAAATCCCACACTGCCTACAGCAAAGAATTAAGTGAAAATATACGATGATTCGGAAAGAACCGGATTTCGCACATTCCTCCGTGAGTGTATTCGGATCATTTTGGTTGACATTCCCATCCCGCCCCATGTAGATCTGTTTATCTCGTACGCAGGACATACGGTGGGCACAGTTGAATAGTTAAATAGCTCCAAATGCTGTAAATTGAGAATGGAGCTGAAGCAATTTTGTTTTTGAAAGGAACAGCGGCAACTCTAAACAGCATTTAGAAGAAGCGTGACAGGTGACCACTTGAAGTTACTTATCAAATAAAAGATAACATATAAAGACTTACACAGACAGAAAAGAAGAATGCTAAAGAAAATGATATTAAACACGGATATCCCAACCCCAGAATAATGCCTCAAACTGCGAGACCACGACATTTCTGGAATACTCATTTTTCTTGGCAATTTTTAAAAATAGCACGTGGATGGTGTTTCAGGGATATTTTTAATTAAGTCTGAAATAGGGACCGTCGGCATGGAATAAATGGCCTGTTTATGCAAATAAGAACCAACCGCGATTTTGTGGTCTGGTTTAGTGCCACTTCGTTCGCGTATAACATCATCGATTTTTAACGGTCGCAGTTGATGAATATCGCCGAAATTATGTTGTATTACACTACTGTAATGTTAATCGGGCAATGGTGCGGGTAGCATACAGTTGTTACCAGATGTGACAAGCTGGAGTGAAAAATTAATTCAAATAGGTTGACTTCGTATTTTTTCAAATTGATAGCATTCTACAGAACAATGGCGCACTCTAGTGTCATTGACAAAGGCATTACAAAAAGAAGGACGTGATCTTCCAATCAAACGTCTAAATATATCCATAGGCCGTGGTCAACCTGTTTACCCTAACAGAGCTGATTTCCACCACTTCACATCAAAATTATGACCCACTCAATCGAATTATTATTCCTACTTTTGAATTTTTAGTGGTGGTTCAAATACAGTTTGACGACAGTCTCTGAGTAAAACGAATCAGAATGAATTACTGAGTCAGAGTTTGGTTGTGAAGGGTTGTTTCAAATGATGTCGCATCCACCTTTTCAGTCAACTCCATTCTGATATTATTAGTATCCCTAATCGACTGCCACGAATTTCTGAGTTGTTTCTTGTGGCCTTTTATAATTTTTGAGTCTTTCCATCATCATAACAAACCAAGTAGTCTGTGCTGGCGAAACTTTCGAGGAGACTCGTTTGGCCACAGCCATTGATGGCTACAATTTCTGCGTCAGAGGCTCATTCCTTGACTTGACAACGTCCAGATATAAATCATTTATCTTAAGACTTATTACGACTCTCTGTTTTAGCTCATTGTTATCTGGCTATGCTTGAAAAAATATTACCAAGTAAGTTGACTCTCTACTTTACAAACAGTTCTGGTCAAATTGACTTTTAATATATGCATCATGAACCTCTTGTATGCTCTGGTGTATTTTGGTTTGGTTACATCGCGTACTAATATGATATCTCAAAAACTAGTCAAATCTTACGCACTTTGATGCTTAACAGCAAACTCGGCAAGTTCTCTGTTTAGCATATGATATCAATATCAATAGTATGCACACTACCAGAAAACATTTACCTCATTGCGCATTCTAACGATGGCATTTGCTAAAATATGAATGCCTAATCTAATAACTTATTAAAACTCTAATAATACTACTCACTATGAAATCCATGAAAGGTCATTAGACTGGCCGATATCTTTTGTAATCGCTCTGATCGATACACTTACATAAATATTGTGTACTATACGAGGAGCACTTTGAATGGAAAATATATTTCGTAGATTGCAAATAGATGATAAATATTCCAACCATGGAGATATGTCCAAACAAAAGCAAATTTAAACAAAAATGATTAATTTTATGCTACAAGTGGTGGACAATGGATTCATCAGAAAAGAATTTTATCTATCTTACTAAATAACAACGATACGTGGTTAGATGCAATCAGCTGTTGCTCAGGACGATGTCATCGTTTTCGTTTGACCCCCTGTCTCTTTCTCTCTAACTTATTCACCTTGACTAACTGTCCTCTTTTGAAATAAGAACGATTTGCTAAGATAATAGAAAATATTCTTCACAAATATACTAAGAGCTAGAGCCAGATGATTGAAACCAACACTAAAATCGTGTACTTTGAGTTGATTCTGCGATAGCATCAGTGCCATACATAGCGCAGTATGATTCACCAGTTAAAATAAGTGGAAAACTACAACACTTTAATCCCTGGCAATTTCTGCGTATGACTAGCTTATATTAACAACGATTGCGATGTACTTTTGCGGCACTTTAATCACCAATTTCCTTAATTTTCCCACAGGGAACGAAGGTATCAACTGTGTATTGCATCATTGCTTAGCTAGGAACAGATTGAATATAATGAGACTTGTTGAGTGAAGTTCTCCATGGGAAAGATGTTACACAACTGCGCCTTTTTAATGCTATAGGATGGTGTTCAGTGGCGGAACGAGGAATGACACTGGTATTAACCATTATTGATCCAATAAACAACACTGATTATCATATTTTACTAATAGAAACAATATCGTATGACTGATAAACGTTGGAAATGTTTCCTTTGTTTGTTGTTTCACGACATCGATCATAGGTTAACTTCTGACAAAACGGCGCCAGTCAGTTATCGCAAGCTTTCACAAATCATTAAGAAATATAATCTTACTATGGCAGGTGGTTGAAGGCGATTTCCCAACCTTTTCTGAATTTGCTATCTGAGTGGCCCTAAAATTTGCCTTCAAATGCCACAGAAACAAACTAGAATTCGATCCAATTTATCCTTAAAGTGATCAAGAAATTACACTCAAATAACTTCATAATGACTAATAGACCAAGCAAAAAACCCTAAATGACATGTAGTTCTTGAAATGACCTTAAAATGCTCCTCAAATTTTTATCTCATTTAAACAAGCTAGCACAGGTTTTGAAATAAGCGATTCAAAAGACACCAATACTGAATATCGAATAAATGTGCCGCTACCGCGTCGTTGATAAAAGCGAACAAAGCAATGTTCCACAAAAAAATAAACTACTTTTTCAATGATTTCTGATTCTCCGTGCATTCGTTCCCTTTCAACCCCAATATTTATCGATAAATAATTAGTTCGAAATAAACAGTGACCATTATGTGGTAATTGTTAAAATAACATGCCAGGAAAAATGTGAAACTAACAAGAAGTGTACTCAGAAAGAAAGGATATTTGAAAACGTACGAACATACAAGTTGAGAGAACGAGAATATGTTAAGAGGTATAGAGAGACTTTAAATTTTTCGATCAAATTGGTGGAAAAGGAGATAAACGGAATGGGAATAGAAACATGGTGGGAAACTGTTAGAGATATGATGCTAGCGTCAGTGAAATCATTTTGCGGTACATACGAACGAGTTCGAACAGGAAACAAACAGCTTGGTGGAATAATAGCATAAAAATACAAGTTGAAATTAAAAAACTGAAATGACTATGTTTTCTAAACAAACGTACAGAGGAAAGCTATAATGAATACAAGAAACAGAGAGAAAAAGTAAAAACTATGGTGAGAGATAGTAAAAAGAAAGTATGGAGTGATTTTGCATATAAACTTGAGCGTGACAGCAAAGGCAACCAAAAATTATCGTATAATGTCTTGAAGAGACTTCGAAATAAACAAAACGCAGCAACTGACGCAACAGGGATAATGGATCGAGATGGAGTTATGATTAAGGAGGACAAAAAATACTGGCTAGATGGAAAGAGTACTTTAATGATTTGTTGAACTTACAGAATGACACCGAACCAGATAATACCTTGGCATCTACGACACATCAAAACACCGAAGATACAGAAGAAGAGGAGACAACTTTAGATGAGGTAACAGCAGCATTGAAGAAACTTAAACATGGAAGGGCACCTGGAATAGATAAAATAACAAAGCAAATGTTGAAAAATATGGATGAAACTGGAATCAGACATTCTCTCTTCACAAAATCATATAGACAGATAATACCAGAGCAGTGGACAACAGGGTTGATTTTACCACTTTTCAAGAAAGGAGACAAAGAAGATTGTAGTAATTACAGAGGAACGACCCTGCTGTCTACAGTACTCAAGGCCTATGAACACATAATAGAGAAAAAACTAAGAAAGTTAATAGAGCCGACATTGTCTGAAACACAAAATGGCTTCAGAAAGGGAAGAAATACTCAGGATCACATATTAACTATTAAAAACTTGATAAGTAAATTTTTACCAAAAGGAAAATCAATGTACCTCGCCTTTTGATAGAGTACCACGAAAAAAGTTAAAAGAGAACTTGCTGAGAAGAAATGTTCATGTAAAATTAGTAGAAGTGATCATGAGTATATACCACAAGACTAACAACCGAGGAATATCCAGAAATATGATGTCCGAAGGATTGGCTACTTCAAAGGGAGTACGTCAAGGGGGAGGGCTTAGTCCCCTATTGCTTATAGTATTTATGGATACAGCACACAGGAAGTTGCAAAAAGTGGAATTGGCAGAGCGCGCATTTGCAGATGATTTGGTGTTGGTAACTGGTAGTGTTGGGAGTCTACAGGAAAATTTGAACACTTGGAACACAGTACTTGAAGATAATGGTATGTATCTAAATAAACTTAAAACTAAAGTTATGGCTGTGTCAAATGAAAAACTCAATATAGACGTAAGAATAGATAATGTAAAATTACAACACGTGCATTCCTTTAAATATCTGGGAGCTATATTGAAACATAACGGCAGAAATGAAATAGCAATTTCTGAAAGGATAGGAAAGGCAAACAACTTGTACTATGCGATGAGTAAAGGTTTTATCAACAAGAAAGAGGTATCAAGAAACCAAAAATGACAGTGTATAATACAATATATAGACCTATATTGACATAGGGATGCGAATCCTGGGTTCTATCGCAATAACAAAAAAGTAAACTTCAGGCAGTTGAAATGAAATACTTGAAACGAGTTAAACGGGTAACCAAAATAGACAAAATAAGAAACGAGACTATAAGAACGGAGCTAGAGACAGAATCTATACTAGAACACATAGAAATGAAGCAGCTGAGATGGGACAGGCCACAAAGAACATCGGAGAATACCATAGAATAGATATTGATGAAAAGAGGAACGGATTGGAGAGAAGCTAAGAAACTTGCTTTAAACAAAAAATGGACTAAATTCATGTACAATAGTAGGTTTTGTAATGTTTTGTTTAACCCTACACCCTTTAGGGTAAATGGGATTTTGATTATTATATAATTAGTTCAAAGTTCCACACAAATTGCCTATGCATGGTAAAAACTACACTATCCGCATATACTCTGAGTCACTACATGTTGGTTGAGATGCAGCAATGATTATTCTATTAAGTAAATTAATTGGTAAACAGAGTGCATGACACTACATCGGTTACGGCACTTTATTGTTTAGACGGAAGTCAACGTATGAGCTCTAACTTAATTGAAACATTACTCTCTAGTTATACTATGATTGTCGACTTGATTTTGATATAATACATATGTTATGTATGTAGTATACAACTGAAAATAGTTAAAATTGATAGCTGTCGCTTCTGCCGAAACTGTGCTGACTTTTTCGATTTCAGGTTATTATACTGTGTTTTAAGTAATCAGTATTTCGCCACTGGGTTGCCGGAATCACTAGAAAATCTTGGCAACCTGTCGCACATTTGTCGGTGACGGTCAGTAAGGTAAATTTTTATTATCGGCAATCTAGACTGCCTTCATATACAAGGTGATTCACAAGTCGTGACCAAAAATGAAATATAATACACAGGACCGCATCTTAAGGGGGTCTTCTATGTAACACTTTTTCCTTGAGGGCTCCATTAAAAAGATACGGGGTGTTGAAGGTTAAAAATAAAAACATTTTTTTTTAATATCTTCAAAACCGTTAAATTGAATGAACTAAAATTTGGTATGTGGATTGACATAAGTATTGTTCACATTCAAAAGTCTTTACTCAAAATTAACGTTCACCAGTGGCGGAGAGACAGGGGATTAGTGGCATCATTTTTCCAAATAAAAATAGTACGCCACTGTGTTTTTTTTTCGAAACGCGCAATTTTTCAAATTTTACCATCAATTTGCTACAAATAATTACTCATGGGTCTTTTTCCTTTTCGTAAAAATGAAAATAAAACAGATTAGATTATTCATAAAGAGCCGAGACAAATTATTTTTAAAATAAAATAGGAGGCCTTGATAGCAACTTGACGTTTCTTGGGAGATAACTTATGTTATGTTATACGGTTGCTTTCGTTACTACTACCACTTTTTTTGCAAGTCAAGCCAAAAACTCTATTTTCCATTTTTTAGTGTTGTGAAATGGAATTTAGCAATGATGAGTACGTCGATATTATTTTTGTGTAGCGATTCTGTAAAGGAAATACTTTGGCGGCTTCTCGACAGTATTAACATAGATCTCCTTACAGACGCCAACATACGCCAAAGGTATTTACGCGTTCATTTCTAAGACCCCGGCGATATGGAACTGCCAAACTTCCCGGAGCTGAAGGCATGCTGTTCAAGAGGAACTGGAAGTGATTAATTTGGCGTCTGATGATTCTAATACAAGTATCTTCTAGATGGATTGCAGTCCAGTTTCCATAATTCCAAAGTCTTGACGGGAGAATTTTAAGTCGGGAAGTTTTACATCCTTACCATCGGCAAAATGTACAATGTCTGCAACCCGGCTACAAAGTGCAACGGCGAAATTTTTGTGAGTAGTCACTGCAAATGCATAATTAAAATGCAGATTTTTCTGATTTGGTTTGGTGGTCAGTTGAATCGCTTTTTATGAGGAGTGGAACCTTTAATTCTCATAATGAACATATTTGGTCGTTAGAAAATCCCCGTTCTGTAAGAATCCACTCGTTTCAACACAGATTTTCTAGAAATGGTGCGGCAATTTCAATGGCCAACTGTTTATGCACGTATTACCGCAACGTTTAAGTATAAAGAATTACATATAAAATGTGTTAGATGATTTTCCGTTAGCAACGATAGAACGAATGTGGTATCAGCACGACGGTGCCCCACCGCATGTTCGACGTGACATAACCGCATGGTTAAATAATCATTTTAGACAACGATGAATTGGCAGAAATGGATTCGTACATTGGCCTGCAAGGTCTCCTGATCTGAACGCCTGGATTTCTTTTTGTGGGGCGCTTTTAAACAGCTAATGTATGCTGAACAAATTAATACTGTTGATCAGATACAAGAAAGAATAGATAATGCGTTTCGAGTTACAACAAATTTTGCGGAAATACGTTTTTCTTTATTAAAAGGATGCCGCACTAATATCCGTCAGAATGGTGGTCTTTTTGAACATTTACTGAAATAAAGCTTTGATTATACAGGGTGACTTCGAAGTTGAGTCATTTATTTTAACAGTGAGTAGATCTGATCAAAAGAAATGTTTTTTTCCTTTACCATTTTTCTGGTAAAATTAAAGTAACAAAGTTATAGCCCTTTGGAAGTTTGAGTACCCCCTGTCTCGATAATAATATTATGTGCTCGTGTTTGGTTCATCGCATCGGAAACAAAAAAGCGAAAGAATTTGGAACGATGTTTTTACAATTATTTTAGACAGTTGTATACAGTCAGTGTCAGTCGGTAACGCGTTTGAATAGTGGTGTCTGTTGCGTGGCTCAAACGAAATAAAAAATGGCACATGTTTATGCGGATCGGTTTCCCAATCGAGTGCAACCAACCCCTCGTGCCTTTGTTAATGTAGTACAACGGGCTCGTGAATCAGGTGACTTAAGACCACACAGGGGACTGCATGCCGGTGTTCCAAGACCTCACGATCAAATACAGGTCCGCCCTGAAATACTTGTCGGGAGGATACTTTATAAAACAAGGTAAAAAAAAAATTTTAATTTTTTTTTATTTTTACATACATATTTTGGTTTATCTACCTTCTACAATCATTATCTGAAAATTAATGACTCAACTTCAAAGTCATCCTGTATATATATATATATATATATATTGTTTTTTTTATATTTACGAAAACACTGCACTCTAGGAAAAAACACAAGAGTAATTATTTATATCAATTGTGCGTTTCGAAAAATACAGTCGCGTAACATATGTATTTGGAAAAACAATGCCACTAATCTCCTGTATCTCTGCCACTGGTGCCTGTTAATTTCAAGTAAAGACTTTTGAATGTGGACAGGTAGGTAAGTCCACATACCAAATTCTGGTTCATTCCAGTTGACGGTTTGCAAGATATTAAAAAAAATTGTATTTTATTTTTAGATATCTATATTCTATACTATACTATATTTTAACTATCTTTTTAATGAAGCTCTCGAGGGAAAAATGTCTTATATGTCCTTAGAATGCGATCATGTGTATAATGTTTCATTTTTGGTCACGACTTGTGAATCACCCTGTATATTATAAACAGAAAAGATTATACAGTCTGTTATATCATATGATAGTTTTTATAATTATTATTATTATTAATATAATCTCGTCGAGTCAACCGCGCCATATTATAAATATACACCATTCCCAGTACTCGAGAATCGGTCGGCCCTATTGTACTGGGACAGGCCAGTCACAACCGATAGGACAGTTGACTATAACCGGCCAGACATACTACTGATCGATAAAACTAAACAGAAAGCGTACATAATAGATATCGCAGTGCCACTCACAGCAAACATAATTAAAACTGAATACACCAAGGCTGAAAAGTATCAAAACCTTGCCATTGAAATCAAAAATATTTGGAAACTATCAGAGGTCTGTATAGTACCAGTAGTAGTGTCTGTGGAAGGTGCAGTCTCTGTAAATCTCCATTCACACTTAGAGAAAATGAAAGTTCCAGCGCATTTTATTGCATTGATGTAGAAAGTCGCAATATTGCAAACATGTCACATAGTTCGCAAGTTCCTCGCAATAGGTCGAGGTGAATTCCTCCTCTATTGTGTACATACCCCGTGTGTAACGATGAAAGACCAACCAAAAACAAATAATAATAATAATATATCATCCTCCTTAGCAATAACGTTTAGTCTCTCCTCATTGAACTAATGAGGTGAAACTTTGGATTGTCTTTGTTATAAATGAAACAAAATACCACGACGTCCTTCACGTTGCCAATAATAAAGGACGTCTAAAATATGAAGTTGGACTAATGCGAAAGTTTTGTGGTTACAAACGATGTTACGCCAAGTAAACAACTGTCAAGCTAGATCACAATTTGTATAAATATATAATTTTGAAGTTGTATAGCCTGGAATTTAGCACGACTAGTAATCTAGTAAACATGAAATTGTGTGTCCTTTAAAGCAAAAAAACTCGACAGTCTGAATAAAATCGGAATTAAATAATACATCTACGTACATGTGTAAAAGACATCAAGGCTCGTTTGTGCTTTTCATTTATGAGGTTTACCTAATCATGTACTTAATAATTACCAATTGAACCAAAGTTCGTTTACAAAATAAAAAATACTACTACAGAAAATACGCACTCAACAGTAGAAACAAAATTCCATAGAGTGAACACCTCTATCTACAATCAGATCCCAAAAAAACCATTGAATCATACTTACACCCTTAATAAATTCAATATTACTCTCACAAGATTTCTTTTTATCAGTCAAAAATTGAATAATACTTTACGTGTGGAGAGCTTACACATGGTGCCGCTTAATGCTTCTGAGGCTGTACTATACTCAATGAGAGGAAAACACAAATCTTGCTTTGATGAATGGTCAAACTGTACTGATGAATCATTCAACCGTGCTTGTAAGCATCCAGGGTGACCCAGACTACTAGCTTATTGAATATTAAGAAATTACATATAA